TCGTATTTGAAGGATAACCACTGTTGTACTGATTGGTATTTGGAGGATAACCTCCACTATAGGCCACTGGCTTATTCCCGATTCTTCCATCAGCATTGAGATCCATACCTACGACTTGTTCAAGTTTTCCGACCAAACCTTAGAAACAGACAATATTCGTAGTTATATTCAACAGAGACGGTCCATACCTCCGCCAGAGCCACCCATAGCACCACTACTGTGATTCATATTGCCTGACATGCCTGTAAAGAGTGAAATGCATGCATACCAGAGAATATTGAACGTGATTGACGAGTTGCGTACCCGTACTACCAATCCGACCGTCACCATTCAAGTCCACGCCTAACTTCTTTTCGAGCTGTTTGGTAATGAAATCTATTCGAATAAAAGAATAACGCATAGACACATTGGATTTAACCATAGAAGAACAGAAATTCTTCTCACCAGTAAAGAGTTAAGACTATCGCTCTTCCAACGCAATTAGAGTTCCAAAATAACGGAGCCGTTGAACAGAACTTACTCATAGTTTTCTGTTGAATTAAACGCTAAATGACAATTTATTTTTATAAAGACAATGACGTTTTAGACCTCTAGAAAAAAAAGAACATTTGATGAAGATATATGGTAAAATCAACACTTTCGTTTCTCCTTCTCTTAACAACGTTTAACAAGTTAAAAGCACTAGTGAACACTGGGCAGTCTATCATGGTACACATTTGCCGTCAACCTTTCCTCTTTATTAAAGCAAGAATAAAATAACATACCTAGCTTTTAAAGCAATAACTTCACCGTCTCGTGTTATGAGTCTATAAGAGAAGTGTCACTTCTTTCCACTAACTCTAAATGACGAACGTATTATCTTCTGTAATGTATTGTAGTGTTACACTCTGCGAAAACATTCATGAAAGAGTCCGTTGGTTTTAGCAGCAAAACTGAACGAAACTTTTTCACTCTTACTATCGAGTCTTGTTCACATTCTTACTGTATATATTAGCAACCTTATATCAAGTCAGATGAATACAGAAATAATAAGAGAATAAACAATTTGCTATACTACGTTACTCTTATATTGCAAATATGTATTGTTGTTCTTGCCATATTCGACAGAAAAAATTGACGCAAAAGAAGTAGAAGTAGTGAAGCATGCATATACCCATATGCGTCTTCAATCAAAATATACAGAAAGCATATTGAAAAAAGGAAAATAACTTTTTCTCCGTTCTCAATGAATCATTTATATATGTCACACAGACAAGAAATCGAAAGAAACTTACAAGTATATATTATTTCATCCAGAGAAGAAGTTTTAACATCTTAATTGCCTTTACGTTAGTAAATGCGATGTTTCTACAAAATAAATGTTTCTATGTTTGTCTACGCGAAGAACTCGAAGATTTAATAACTCTAAAGAGAAAACGGAGTAGCTGCCTGAGAATTCCAGACTCAACCGTGTATAATTCAGCATGAATCTAACAGTATCATCGGGGATCTCGAGAAGAGTTGGAGAAATCTATCGAGTTTCTGCCGAAGTTTAGGCAGGATTTCCGAATACAAACGGTATCACGAGCGGTCCATCGAAGCCGCCCATAGCCAATCCCCGCAGCTAGACCCGCTAACCATCACCATTTTGCAACAAAAGACAAAAAACTATCGTTTTTGTTTATTTTTGTAGGATAAAAATACAGCGCAAGAAAACGCATATAAGAACCATGCGTTTTCTGGTGTTACGGTAGCGTGGCCAGAAAACAGTCAAAAAATGCACATTTCTGCAGAAATCGTTAAAAAAATTTGACATGGGTTATTGACGTCTTAGATATATAATACATGATTTTACTAAAACAAAGACATCTAGATCCACCAACTTGAAAATCGCTTTTGAGACGAAACCTAGTGAGTACTAGATAATAGACCATGCTGATCCCGAATATCGACATAAGACAGGCAGTTAGGCCTACAAAGACCACCCGTTTTCTGGTAAACCAATTTTTCAGAAATTCTAAAAAATAACCAAAGCTTTTCTTAATGCGGTATGATTGCAGTCCGCAAATTTCTGACTAAAATGAGACATCTCCCAGCTCAATATGACCTTTCTTTGCAAAGTTATAGAGTTTACAAGAAAAGCCCTAAATTAATTTTTCCTTATTTCTGTAGCCTTGGGCTGACAATGAACATTTAGGGCTTTTTTTGTAAATTCTATAACTATGTAAAGAAAGGTCGTGTAGAGCTGGGAGATGTCTCATTTTAATCAGAAATGTGCGGACTACAATCACACATTATTCAGAAAGGTTTTGGTTACGTTTTAGGCGTTTCTGAAAAACTGGTTTTCCCGAAAACGGATCGTTGGAGGCCTAACTGCCCGTCTCATGTCGATATTCGACATGATACGGGCAGTTAGATCGGCATGGTCTATTACCTATTACCAACTAGGTTTCGTCTCAAAAACAATTTTCAAGTTGGCGGACCTCCCTCGTGACTCAACCAGATGCATGGACCACTTCATTGACGCTAAATACATTGTTCACAGCATTGCTCATATAGATGCATCGGCAATGTTATGTCGTTATATCGAGAAAAACATTTATCTGTATTCAGATGCATCTGGATATATCCATATTTGTCTAGATACAACGTGTGATGCCTTGGTGGCTTTCTTTTTGGACATTTAGATGCATCGACAAGTGAACTGACGAATCTAGATACATTGGGCGATACTCCATGCTTTTTGTGTACTTGGGATCTCTGCTGATAGTGGTAATAAATGGAATTAAAAGTTCATGCAGGATACGTGATACTGTCCATATTTTCAAAAATGCATTACACACCCGGGACTTTAATTGCACGTGAGCCGAGCCTCGAGCCGTGGCTCAACGAGCTGGATCGAATGTGATCTGATTTTATAATATTGTTGCCGAGTCGAGCCGAGCTACGAGTCGCTATCTCGCAGCCGGGAGAAGGTACGAGACGCCCACCTCTGATCCATATATTACAATTTCTAAGACGTCTACTTCTTCTATATGAGAAGGATTTGGCTCAGAGATTCCTATCCGCAACGCACGAAAAAGAAAGTTCGATTCATTTATTTGTTTTTCTTTCCTATTGTAAGTGTTAGAGCTAGAACAAGGACAACGATTAATACAATAATGATAGTAATAAGTATAATCCACATTTTGATATTTTTCCTACAAAATTTTCGTCCGATTTGATGTGATTTCACTTGAAACTGTTCGGCGCTATGTTGAAGATCATCGGTTTTACCTTCTAAATCATCGAGCATAACACCACGATTAATAATATTACCTAAATTGTCTTTCATTTGAACAACAACACCGTTAACATCTGTTTGTAATTGTTGAATTTTGGCTGATTGAGTTTGATTTTCAAACGATACAGCGGTAGCCATGCCTGTGTGACTTTATTCAATGAGTTTGATTTTTATTATAGTGATGATAGAAAGTAAAAAAGAATCTATATATGTGTTTATATCGACCGATCATCGCACATTTGAATTTCAGCATATATGTAGTACTGTACGTGAATGTGTCACAGATGATAGTGAGTCACGTCACCCTACTCAGTGAATAGAACAGAAAGAAAAAATCATTCTGTCATAAAATAT